GCTCACTGAGGAGCCGATTGTCTTTGAGTTGTACATAATTATTGGTTTTTACTCCCTAACAAGAGGACTAAATATGGAGTTTTGGCTTTAGTTTCCTTTTAAATGCAGAGTTTTACTGCTTGTTTCAGTCTTTTTGCTCCTTATTGATGGTTTGGACCTATTTTTTTGGTCTTACATGTTAAAATATTGGGAAATGAAACAGGAAAAAGGCACGTTTAAAAGAGTCTCCTCCCTTTTCAGCATCCTATTTCAAGATTTTACAAACTTAGAGTCCTTTTCAGCGGATAAGTCAAATTTACTTTACAAAAATATACTTTTTTGGTGGGATTTCTCTCCATCAGAGTAAATATTTCTAGTCACTTTTTTAAAAACATCTTTAAAGAAAAGCTAAATATTTTACAGAAATGAGAAATGGGGGAGGAGCTGAGATGTTTCTGATGGGTCAGAGGATGTTTGACGAGCACTTAGTTAAAAAGGATCCTGGTGAACATTTTTTAAAGATGTTTGTTCGTTTTGATTTAGACTTAAGGATTAAATCAATAAATAAACTCAAGCACTTTTAAAATCGGAGCTGCACAGGTAACTCTGATACCTGGAGCCCAGCTTTGTCCTCTGTGGAGGACGTTTGTAAACTCGGACATGTTCCAAATTCTGCTGACCGCCACAGTAGCTCCTTCAGTCCTGTAAAGGACATTCAGGACTTTATTTCATAAAGAATTTCTCTGAGTTTGGTTTTGGGAACTTCACAGAAAATGTCGTGATTACCTTTCATGAGTGTCTTTGTTTTATGTTTTTACGTTTTGTTTTATACAAACTGGGTGTATTCAAACCTAACTGATGTGTTATTATTGCACTGGATTCTGATTGGTTTGAATTTCACAGATTTTTTGACGTGCCTGTTTGGGGGATTTATGAATAAAATTTAATTGAGTTTTGTTTCACATGTGTCATTTGGATTAAAACATTTAAATTATGCTGAATAATGACTTTTTTATTTATATTTCATGTAAAAAAAAAAGATTTAGCACTTTTATTAGACACAAAACTTCTGTTTATCACATTCAGTCCAGTCAAAGATTAATGCTTCCATTATATAATCCTTGTTTTGAGAGTAATACATATTTTTAGGATGGTAAAAAATAACTAGAAAATTTCAGAAGAAATTTTGGAGGGGGGCCACCCGCTGCCCGTCCGGGAACAGGTCGGCCAATCCATATTCGGGCTCTCTGTAATGTGGGCTCGCGCCTATGAGAGGGCCTGAGGTGATGGAGGGACCCGGCTGAGCTCTGGGGCCCGCTGACCGAATGCGGATGGGGTGGGCAGGTCGGGGGTCACGTTGGCTGAAAGCTGAGAAAAAGACCTACGCAACGAGGTATGACATGGCCCCGGTCCGGTTCCGACCCGGTTGGGTCCTATCCCCAGAACCAGAACCAGAACCGGGCTCTGACTAAAGCCCTCTGAGCGGGCTTCGCCCGCCTCATAACAGAAATAACGTATTTCTTAAAAAATCACTGAGAACGGGCTTTGCCCACCTTGAAGCTCACAGCCCACAGAGGTCTGCAGAGACCCACAGAGTCTCTGTTGGTCGCCACGGCGACAGCAGCCAGGCCAAAGTGTCAACTCCCACACCTGTGACCCATCAGTAAGCCGTAGCTGTGACACACACAACTGACAGCTTTGATCAAAAGTTGCCTCTGAACGGCTGTACGCTGTTCGAAAACTATATCACAAAACTGAAAAATTCTTGGACCGTGAGCGGGCCGAGGCTTTCAGGTCTCAGCACGTCTGTTTATTTTTCGCCTGCTCCCAGCGGTTATTTTTTTATGGATATTTCAAAATGAGGGCCGTTTTGTCTCTGACGAAAAAAATCTCTCCTTTCTTCCATTCAAATCCTATTAGACAGGGTCGGGAAAGTCTGGACTCTGGGCCCGATTGCCGGAAAACCGTAAGGTCGAGGTCAAAAGCGGGCACATCTGGTCGCGAGAGGCCACAGTTTGACTTTTTTTCGGTGAACGTCCCCACAGAGCTCTTAACGAGCTGAGTTAGAGTGCGGGCCAGGATCTCTGATTTTCTGAATTTCACTAAAACGTCAACAGCGATTGCAGGCAAACGGTGCGAGATCTGGCCTCGTGGCTCCGATATGGCGGAGGCCCGTCTTTCGTGCCCCGTTCAATGTTCGAGCGAGGTCTCTCGGACGCCGTGGGGCAGAGCGATGAGACCCTAACGGGCCTCATCTTTCGGCTTTTTTGGGCCCGTTTGTCTCTGAAACGCGCGCTCCTTTGAGAAAGATAATTAATAGCACGCATGGCTAGGTGGGTCCGGACGCGCGTGCTGACTTTGGGCCCGATCCGTCGAACCGTGCGGGAGTAGTGGTCCGCGGAAACGGGAGAACGATTGTTGAATCTTATTGTCGATGTTCTTGTTGACTTCCTGTTGTGGGTGGAGATTTACACAGGTGTGTGCAATCTGCTAATAAAAAGGCCACAGGTTGCTCTGATGGGCACTGCTGCATTCAGGCCAAACTTAACTGGAGGCTATGTTGTGTTTCCTTCGTCACCGCCCGGCATTTCCAGCTCTTTAAAGATGGCAGCGTCAACAACGATAAGTCGCAGAATAAATATGACGAAGAGTAGTAGGTGGGCCTTGCCTGCGGCAGTGGCCCCCCTAATAAGTATTTGGAAGAGTAATAGGTGGGCCTTGCCTCCGGCAGTGGCCCCCATAAAAAGAATAAATAATGCAGAAATATACCATTCTTCTGAAAGAAAACTTTCAGATAAATAGGGATGAATGTGTAAAAGGGGTGAATATGTGAGCAAATCTTTGTAAAAATAAAGAAAATAGTTAACAAAAAATTGATTTATTCAGAATTTACTGTTCATTTCTAAATGATTTTCTCTATTTTTAAGCTTTGGGTCATTGAAGTTCATTCAGGGGACTTTTGCTGTCATTAATATGGATTTCAATGGACACGTTTGATTAAATTATACGAGATCTTATTAGATATTTATCATCAAACCAGCAAGTTGAAACCCTCCTGACT